CCCTAATATGATTTTTCCCGCCTGTCTCATGATGAGATATTAACATGTACTTAGTTTTTTCTGAGTTCATTTTTAGGCCAACCTTTCTAATTGCTTCTTAAACATTCCATAATTCTACTCTGTTTAATGTTTGCAAATGCAATCGTCATAAAATAAATTGAGAATAATATAAAGTTAATAAATGGACACAAAAATCCTCAGAGCAGTTAGTTTCCAAGTAATTGTAATCCGTGGTACGCCATGCGCATTGCATTTGTTCATGTCTGTCGTTGTACCCGGAATAAAACTGCGGTTTCCTGGAGCTCAAACGAGGCTCGCTGTCTCCGACTTAACACAGGACAGTTTCCGTATTCGTACTGCATTATCTAGTCCTCATGTCTGTTACAAGTTATGAACAGATACGTTCAACAATACTGAAGTATTAATTAACGCATTTCTGGAATACCGTGTACAATTAAATAAATATATAACATTCCTCGAATGTTCGCGGCTAGGAATGAAATTGATCAAAAAATTTAAATTCCTTGAAATTTATATTCTGTAACCTCACAAATTTGGTGCCTATTTTCATTGCCAAAGAAGAAACTAAGTAACAGATTAATTACAATTATCACATTTTATCCTTCCATTATTATAATCAACCTCAATAAAAATGCGTATAGTAAAATACGAACTGAAGTGCTACTGCCTCATTTCTGTCAGCCTGTATATATTTTCTTCTGTCTGACTATATTGTATAATTTATGGACAAGAATCTTCTTCCATGAATTGCATTGTTTGTAGACAATGTGATTTATTATGTTGTATGTTTATGGAGACGCTTATTTTATAACAGGATATAGGAGATTATTATTAAATGAAACAGACATAATTACGGAGTAATAGAGTTTACTATAATTTTGTTTTGAGCATATAGTATTTTAATAATAATGTTAATGTATGAGGAAGTTTATTGATAAATAAATTTAAAAAAGAGCATTATTTTTGTTGTTAAGTTAAAAGAATATGCATCTGATGCTTATTTATAATGTGCGTAGCAAATATGACATCGTTTCTTTTCTGATTCTGCCGATATATCACCAATGATGTCAAGAGTTTCTTACAAGTAGTTGAACTTCATTATTTTGTGACGAAGGTATTAAGTCGCAAAGATGAGACATCAGCATTTAAATTCACTAATACGCATTAACTGCAGCAGAGGAAGTGTGGTAATACAAACAGTAACGAATTTAAATTGAGATTATTTTATTTGTATTGAAATGTGTTCTCTCTGCCAACAAGAGTCATAGCCACATCTGCTATGCGTGCTAAAAACAATTTAAACGCTTATCACAATATTCGGAATCCACGTCACGTCGTTGTTTGTAATGTTATTTCCCGAATAAGGAAACCAGTATATTTTCACAGAAACGGATCAGCATCAGATAGTCATTGAGTATGCATTGTGCTCGCTGCATCTCGAAGACGCCTGCAGTCGGTATTTAGAACATGCGAGAGCCCTGACTGGTATCCGATGGATATGAAGGCATTTTGGATTACACTAAAGAAAGTTTTCGTAATTTATTATTATTAAAAGAAATATGTTACATTAGAATCAGCATTTGTAAACAAACACTTTCCTTCGGACGGGTGCACTCTTTATTTGTATCCTTCTTTCAAAATAAAATGGGGCGTAACTCAATGTCGAAACGACAAAAATTTCATATTTATACAGGCGTTTTTGGTTGCTTTTGTGCATAGAACACGTCCCTAAATTAGCGCCATGTATTTGAGAAACACTCAGTAAATCAACTCCTCGAGCGTCATTCAAACAACGATTCTAGTGTTCAACGGTCCAAGACATCGCACAGTCGCTGCGATATTGTTTCCGTTTAATTTTTTTAAGTATGAGTATCAGTATTAATGTGATGTCTTATTTTGAGGGAAGAAAGTAAATTACACGTGGGCCTTATTGAAAATAAGTCGCAAAGAGAAATATTTGCACGCAATAAGGATTAACAGAATGAAGAGTTTAGAGTAACGAGGGATTTCGTAATATATATGATAAGGCCTACAGCTCTCTTCACATTTATATGAGAGTGAAATTTATAAATCTACAATGGACTTGGCTGTGGTTAATCCGTATTTTTTTAAATCAAGGAGAATATTTGTAATTTATTTCTTTTCTCTCTGTCTAGAATTCTGTCAAATTTTGTACAACGTTCACCCTGCATAATAGTCATCTGGGCATTCTTTGTACATATTGAATCCCTTTTGCTCGTGTTTTCACTGCCTTGTACAAGGAGCGTTCACGACTTTGGTAAAATTTTAATTTTATATTTATTCATATACTAAGCTCTCAGAGTTTTGTTACTGATTTCAGAAAATGACCAGAACTTCGATATGCGATAATACAGCCAGGCGTACCTCGTATTTAAAATGTATCTGTTTATAATATGGTTGTTAACTGCTTATTTAATTTACTGATTTCTTTTCTACGAACGCCGTACATTGTGCTGATGTGTAGTCTGGTAGAAGTCTACCAGACTATACGGCGCTACAACCCAGAAGACAGCCGTCTTTGAATAAAGGTATTCTTGCTTATCGATTCTGTGTGGCTTTTGATGTCGCTGCGATCGGATAACTTTAAACGGATTAGGTCTGTTCCTTCTAAAGTCGTCACCAAGCAACAGCGACGAGGGAAGGAATACGTAATGCGACGAAGCACGCATCGAGCGCCACCGTGCGGTAACACCGTTTCACGCTTTCATCCAAGCTCCACAAAGACACAATAAAATGTTTTAAATATGCTTTAGCGGCGCTGGCTCTAGCATTATACACGTAAATACAACAAACACTACTAGATTTACACTATTACAACTGCTGTCACAACTACTACTAAGATTGCTGTCTTCTGGGTTTTAGCGCCCTGTAGTCTGGAAGTAGTTTACGAACCATTCGGTGGTTCTTGTTGCCCCTATTACCAGGACGATAAGAAAGACGCGACAAGAACTATAAGTGCAACCGCAACACCTCTTCTTGTTAGGTTACGCCATCCCTGCTACGAACCCATTGCTGGAAATGGTAAACGATGCGTTAACTCTAACAGGGGATGTGATTGCTCTAACGGGGTTTTCGTCGTGGCGGAAGGCCTTGACATATTTAGACAAGGGCTGTTGCTACTGGTGAGACGTGATACCACCAGGCGACTTGTCCTTTCACTGATTCCATGTCGTTGTACCTTCCGGTACAGCACAATTTAACATGTCTCTTCACCCGGTTCTTTTATCTGCTCTTGCGGGTTCAGAGTTGTGATTGAAATCCATGCAAAATATCATTAAATTCCGCCCAAATATTCTCTAGTTATAAAATGAGTAAACACAGACATCATCTGTGCACGTAGTTGGAGCGAATACATTTTTCATACGCTCCTGTAGCACAACGCCCATAGGCTCTTGTGGTCTGTTCAAGTAAGTGTAATTATTACCATCACACACAACAAATACATGAAAGTACTTAAATGTATGTGTTAATGTAGATATCACATCGATAATATTCATGATCATGTGGATGTATTTTTACATTACGTATCTCCAGACATTCTTGTCCTGGAACGTCATCAGATGATAATGATAATGAAGTATGAAGGTGATTTCATCGTACAGGAATTATTAAACTGTATAGCTTATGTTGACGACAGATCCATACGCTACATTTGAATGGATAACGCCGGACGGAGCCGTTACATAGCGCGCATAGTCGCCTAGTAGGGGCTGATATATTCGGAGTGTTCATGTATAGATGAGTATGAAGGAAATTTGTTTCGTGGTTTATTTAATATTGCTTTCTCAGCTAAATTGGTTCTGTAGTCTTGACGGCGGAGAAAATTGAAAAGAATGAAATACATGCAAATTTAATCGGAAAACCTGAAGGACACGTAACATTATGTAGACCTAGGAACAGCCGGTAGGATAATATTATTAATAAAACTGATCTTGAAGAAGTAGTGTGTAGATTCAATGGAATCACTATAGGATCCAATGTCAGGTTTTGAGCATGATATTGAACCTCCGAATTCAATAAAAGGCTAGGAATTTCTTCACCAGTTTAGCAATTACCAATTCCTCAAGTAGACTTTTGCTATGTGCAGTTAGTTATGAGTTTACATAATTTACTACTAGCAGCGTTTTAAATCGAATGTAGACACGTAAATACGTAGTTGAACAAGGTAAAGAGTGTGTTCCACTACAGATGTTTGGCGTCTCATTTTCGAGAGTTCCGTTTAACGATGTCGAGAACAGGTAGCTAATACTGACAGTTCTTAGCTTCGCGCTTTCCTCTGACGCCATGACATCGAACAAAACGAGAAAATCAAAATCAAATCATTCTCGCTGTCATTCACGTGACAGTTTCTCTTATGACACAGGCTTTATTTAGGCTTGTAGGTCTATTTCTGGAAACGAAAACTGTGTGTTAATATAAAAACTTTACACTGTTTTACTAGTGTTTTTACGAGCGTTCATTCAGTTACAGAAAATCGTCTGTTAGGTTCATCGTGTTTGTATGTTCGTCTGTCCGCTGACAACTAGAGAACGGGTGATCAGATTATCGTTACATGTTACATTAATTTTACAAAACTCCTTCAGCATGTTGCAATTATGTTTGAAATCGGGCAGAAATAATGGTTGTTTTACATGCGTTACAGAGTTCGGATGACTGGGTGGTGAATCTCCAGGCTACCTTGGTTACCATGGCCAAAGATCAAATTCTGCCGATATCTCCTTCTTGTTTGAAGTCACAAAAATACATTATTTGTTGCTCACGACAGTTGTTTCGTCTGTTGTAATGAGCCTAGACTCTGTTGTTGAGGTTAAATGTTGTACTCCGCTCGTCCGTTCGTCTTAATGACACAGTGCTTAATTAAGCACGGGACAACTTTAGTTTGGTTTCACCTTGAATGTCTATTGCTGCAAATACAATACTCATAATGGTAAACAATAATGAAATTAATAACAGAATTGTTCTGGTATAAATTGAGGTAAGATGTTTATTACATTCCAGTGATGTTACATTTACGTTATATTGTTCACGAAATCTCTCTGTATAAAAGTCGTCCGTACAACGTATGTTAAGAACCTTTTACATATTTACCTGACCTTTTATCAGGATTTTTATGAATAAATAAAAAATATTAACAGATTATGTATCTGGCAGCTGTTATTCATAAAGATACACTTTCTACTTTGAACTACATATACAGAATGTAACAGCTAAGTCTTATGTTTGATTTATTAATAATTGGGACAATTATAAGTGCCAGCTGAATTGACCTTAGAAAGAATAAGCTGTTCAGACACGTCAGTCTTCAGTGCGCTGGTCAGGAAGAAGAACTCTGTTGATGACGTGAATCACGCCATTTGTGTTGAGGATGTCACACTCCGTCATTGTGGCATCGTTCACCTAAAAGTAGATCGAAGAAAACTGAGAGTGTTTCATCTAAGGAAAGGAATGGCTGTAGAGAAATTTGTAATATGAAGCATCATAACTGGAACTCTTAATCCTGTATTATTAGGTGATTAAGTCAGGAACAGTGAGACTTTCGGGCTGTGTAACACTACTGGGAAGATTATAAATGCATAGAAAATTGTATTAGGAGAAATCTAAAAAGAAGAAAATACTTGGTAGATGAGATAACACTGGGAGAATAATGTTAAAATGAATGTTTATAGTTTAGACTGACTGGTTACAGGGTTCAGTGGTGATTTCTTGTGGACACGGTGATAGGAATTCGGAATTTATAAAAAACTGGAATGTCTGAGCAGCTGAGCGAATATCGTATTACTCTGCTCCATAAAGTTAGATGTTTATTTACTTTGTCTTAAATTGTTCCCGAATTGACAGTCCCCAATGGTGAATGCGGTTGAATCCACCATTAACCAATCAGTTAGGAAAATTGATTTCTGTTGCTTTATAATTAAAATGTAAGGATAATGTAGTGGCTTACCTTTAACTTTCCATTTTTTCGAACAACGTCCACGACATTCTGTCTGGTTTGTATGTCGTAATAAAGATCTGGTTTGAAGGCTTCCGAAGCAATCATGTTCTCTGCAACATGATTCTTAATAGTCTGAAACAAATGTCATTATTACCATAGTATACAAATTTTTAGTAACCTATTTTAACCACGCCTCGTTATATTAGATCACGAAATGAGCACAGTTTAGACATTGCTAGGCTAAGACTTAATATACTTTGAGGTGAAGTTAAGTTAGTACTATCAAAACGGTCTGATTACTGAACTAAGGTTAAGATTAATTCCTCTTCGTTTCGGTCTTGCCGAGATCGCTTTGTGCATTATTTTCAGGAGCACTGTATATATTGAAATCAGTCGCCGACTTTTCAGTGACACGTTTTAACAGTAAAGTGTGTTTATTTTTTATGTCTGCAAAACAAATACTATTAGAGTTTCTTGATGACGTTCTTTAAATAAAAAAAGGACTTTATTACAAACTTCCAACACGCACATGTATCGATTTCTCAGACATTTCAGTTTTGTCTTTCTTTTAAATCGAGAAACTTTGTACTGACAAGAACAAGATGAAATTTAATACACAGTAACATTGATATTGTTGAGTGACGGTTGTAGAAATGACTTTGTAGCCTTCCAGTGCAAGAAACGCGGTACAAGACGAATGAAGCTACGCTGTAAATATACTCATGAATATAGTCCCTATCACAGAAAATGAAGTTTTCAGTGTCTGCCCCACGCTGATACAGATGTGACAGCTTTTGTCTTCCTCGTTTGTTTAACGATACATTACCAACTGCTTGTGTTTTGGCTATAAGAAGTACAGTTGTTGTTTAGTTATTTATAGGATGATTACATTCTGTGAACTCGAATGAATTAGTGACCAACTACTGGCGTTCACCTGTATGGACTGAGTAAAATCACAAAGACCTCAGCAAGAATGGTCGGTGTTCCAGCTGACATTTAAATCTGGAACCTTCAAAATACAAGTCAAAAGCGTCAGGATGTGATAAGATTTTTCCCCAATAAGGGGAAAATATGCAAAATGAAATGAGAAAAATGTTAAAGGGAACAACAGTGGCTGATTTTGAGGCGCTAATTTAGGACTTGCCCGGAGGAACATAAAAATCGCTGCAGTACTCAATTTTAATAATTCATTTCAGAGACTAGAATTTAAAGCGGGGTCTCCTGAGTACGAAGCACGGGCTGTACTTCAGCATTTTCTTTTATATCATGACAACAGTGTCGGTATAACTGAAACGCGAGCGGAGGAAGTCTAACAACAAAAAAGTTGCTTTTATATCTGCACGATTTGAGTCTTATAAAGCACAGATAGATTTAACCCTGTAAAAAAAGTCGTATTTCAACCAAAATGTATGAAAAAGGCAGTAAAATATATGAAACTTTTAGAAGTTTAAGTTTAATCAAACTAGGCGCTTAAGAACGACATGAATCAATAGCTGTGTTCTTCTAGTGCAGACAGTAAGTTTACTTAATACACTTTATCAAGCAGTGTAATTTTGAGAAGCTGATAGTTGTGCAACTATTTAATATATTTCCCGCTTTTTGTAATATCCGAAGATTCCTTGCTGTGTTAAGGATAACCTGCCAGCTGTCCCTATCTTAATCCAGATCAATCCAGTCTAGCCCTGAAGATGGATGCAGTATGTTCCTCTTTGATACCCATCTGCAAATCCACACGGTGTTAGCCCGGAACACAACCACCGACATCTTTACAGCCGAAAGAATCTCACATTTTATGTTAGGTTAGGTAGCGTTTACTTCTGGCTGGCACGGCAAAGAAAAAGAATTCGCCTGTCAACTTCTGGTACAGAACAAAGAATGTAATCTTGCATTCTGTATTTTCGGAAAAAAGATCTGTATGAATGGATGTACAGGCTTAAATACTCCATTATTTACATCCATGTTAATTAAATACTGATCTGTTCTTATGTTTATTGGACCTGGACCTTTGTATAAGATTTACCTTGACTAGGTAGGCGGGATCATCCATGATGCGCTCTAGCCGCGTAGATCCCAGACGGTTGAAGGCTTGGTCTGTTGGAACGAAGAAAGTGTAGGATGCACCGGGTGACCTCAGCTCCAGAGTCTCAGGGCTCCTCTCCATGACTGTCTCCATCGCTTGAAGAAATATACTGCAACAAAAACACAGCTTGTGATCGCGTTCAAACTACCGGGCCGATTTCGTTCATATTCGATGTGGTGGATGATCATTGCTTTCATTCCTACGAAACTGACTTTGTATTGCTATAGCTTAACTGCTACCACATATGAATTATTGGTAAGTTGTTGGCTTAGGTCGCGACAACTGGTATATAATATATGCTCATAATCGGTTATTTATTCCTCTCTTGATATTTCGTTCAAAGGATACCTCGGTCGTCAATAGGATAACCGTGGGCTTAACAGACGTCACCTCCATACTGCTACGATCCTAACACTACAAGACTTCGCCCTGTCATCTTACGCCTGACCCTACGACTGTAGGTCTGCATGCGTGGTGGTCCACGGGACGATTCCGTTATCACTAAGGAAACCAATGATTTTAAACACTACACTTCTGTATAGCATTTTATAGTTTCTTATCACGTTTTAAGGTTTTAGATCAATAGCATGACACATTTGTGAAGTTTAATTTTAGAGTTGACGTCACTGTCATAAACAACTTGTAGTTAAGATTTAAGTTAGTATCAAAATATGGCAGGAAAGGGCCGAAACATATCATAACATTCTATACTATTATACCTATGAGTTGGGTGTGGTATTTTTGAATAATTCAGTGGGTAATTGATATAGAGAATAGAACGTTCTTTACTTTGCTTATTGATAAACCAAAATCAAGTTTGAAGTACAGAAGCAGGTTCCAACGAATATTCCACTCTGCTCAGGAGAAACTTCAGTAACTGAACTGAAGCTCTGGTGAGTTCTTTCCTTCATGCATCATATCGCTGTATTTCTGAACCTCTGGTTCACAAAGTACGATTTGAGGTTCTCACGGCGGTGAGTTCAAAAATGGCTGCCTTCTGAATTGTAGCTCCTAGTAGTCTGGCAGAAGTCCTCCAACGTTTCATCGCCCTGATGATGGAAGCAGAAAGCAGCTCTGAAACGTTGGTTAACTTCTGTCAGACAATGACGCTACAATCCAGAAGACAGCCATAATTCATTTCACTAGTTCGAATTTCTTTTACGTGTATTTTTCTGTTCGTGGTTACCAAAATACCTGAAATTTCCGTCTCTTCGCAGAATATCGCCCGCCGAGATGTTTGATGGTGAAAGGGCCTTGTTGATGATGTGTATGTTGCCATTCATTCCCTGCAAGTCGGCTTTTTCAATGAGGGCGTCCTCCACTCCCATGGCTTTACGATAAATCTGTAGCCGCAGGGCGTTCTGTTCGTCGAGTGACATTAAAACCTATTTCAAAATGAAGAAATGCATTTTCGGTACGAGATTTTAAGTTATCACGGTGGTGAAGATGTAGATGTTGGTCCTGTGGGTCTGTGGGTTGTAACGCCCTGTGGACCCGCAGATAGACACAAGTTCTTCAGAAAAACGTACTACCGCCATTCCTGTCAGTGTCTACCAGACTACACCGTGCAACATCCCAGAAGACAGACACTTCATTACCCTAACATTTCGCAGATTCCGCTAATAACATCTGGAGGTATCATGATTAAAATATTTTTGTTTTCCTCAGTCCTTATAGTGAACGGCATCGCACGAATGGTAATTATTATAACAATAAGCGTGACAGAATGTGAGCATGAGAGCTCAGTCACTTAAACAATGGTTATGGAATCGATTACCGGTAGACATTCTTTTCTTTTAGTACCGCGTACAAAAGTTCTGGAACTCGCATAGTTACACTGTAATAATCCACTGATGAATGAGCTTCAGAATGCAGTGCTTAAGTTGCCTGAGTTCTTACTTTCTGACAATTTTCTCACCTGATTATCTGAGATCTGGTCTGAGTCTATCCGTCCCTGAGTGGCGTGATACAACACGAAATCTCGAGCCTTGTCCTTGCTCGTTTTCAGTTCCTGCAGCTGGTTCGGAGGCAGAGCTGGTAAACAAGACATTTTCAGTTACCAAAACAGGCATACCAAATCTAGTAACCAAAATTCTATATTTTGTCATCCATTAGTTTTCTAGAATTGACCCGTGTGGGCTAATAAATGAATTTCCTAGTTAAGTAATGTTCTGTGTTGTAATTACAAATTACAGCTTACGTATGTATGTATGAAGAAAACGCTTCAAGAGACAACTACGAAATATGTGAAACGTCTCTTGGTTATACGTTTCGGCCGTCTTATATACATGTCATTTAAGCGACTCACCATACATGGCGCTTTCTGAGGGAGCGAATACCGTGTATTCGCCGAAGTTCTCAAAGGTGTCTTCCAGACCAGCAGAGCGGACTATTTGCAAGAACCCAAACAGTTGCTCCTGTTCTGCCAGTTGTAGGATGCTCTTCGCTGAAACAATGCACATGCGTGAGCAATCGCCGTCCATTGTGGAACTGTTTCGTAAGAAATTGAATCTGTGTAACGAGTACAAAGTTAACGATGTTGTTATTCTGGATTTTGACGCCGTATAGACTCGAAGGTAAATACCAAAGTTTCGGAGAAACATACTGTCTCCATCTGAGGGTTTGATTTCCAGTGTGTTTTCTCTGAAGCACTAGTACCTACCTGCGAGTCTACACGGTGTCAAAAACTAGAACAAGATCATCATGTAAGATTTTAGGTTTTCACAGCGGTGAGTATGAAGATTGCTGTCTTCTGGGTTGTTGCGCCCTGATGACGGAGGCAGAATGACCTCTGAAACGTTGGTAAACATCGACCAGACTACACAGCGCAACAACCCAGAAGACAGAAATCTTCATACTCATCGCCCTGATGATGGAGGCAGTATGACCTCTGAAACGTTGGTTAACATCGACCAGACTACACAGCGCAACAACCCAGAAGACAG